CTGCACTGCCCTCCGGCCTGTTTACAGCGCGGATCCGCCCGGTGGGCAGCGACGGCCAGAGGCAGACGGAGTTTGTTTCCCTTGGCGAATGTGGGGGCGCGGTGGCCGCGGGGTCCCCCGTGTCGGAGGTAGACCCCGGGACGCCGGAGCACCTGGCCCGGCCTGAAGCAAACAGGACGATCGGTTCAGGGAAGGAGCCGGTGGGCGCAGAGATGGGGGCGGGCAGACCTGGAGCTTCCGCCGCCGCCGCCGCGGGAGCAGGTGCGTTGTGGCCGCTTTGTCCGTGTTCTGGGGTACAGAGGGGCCGGGCGGCAGGTGCGCGGGCCGGGTCGGGCCGAGACGAGCCGAGGCGACTCGACTGTGGGGTTCCTGAAGCGTTGTGCGGGGCCGGGGGGTGCCCGGAGCGGTGTGCGGGGGCGGAGCCCGCTGAGCGGTGGTACCTGTGGGCTGCTGGTGTTCGGGGCGCGTGCAGCGGGAGCTTCCCGCTGGTCCTGCTAACCGGCGCTGCGGGAAGGTCACCGGGGGCAGAACTTCATCTGGGTGTTCGAGCTTTGCTTTAATTGCTCCTTGGAAGGCGATGTATTTGCGTTGGAGACACGGGGTTTGAAGGTGTCGCTACAAAGCCGATTTCCTCTTCCAGTGTGCGCGAGATTTCCATGGCAAAACAAACGTGCAGAATAAGCAAACCCCCTTAGGACAGGTCTGCTGCTCCAGGAGCCTTGAAGGCCTCCAGTAATGAGTCGAGTTACGCAAAAGGGTAAACGTGGTTTGGTAAAGCAGACTTTGCCTCGGTACAACAGGCATGCTTTGTGACATGTTTACACCTTGGAAAAATCTGGTTTTTAATTCACTGCCATGGTCTGAAGCTTGATCTGTCTAAAGGAAAATCCATGTTTTGGCTTCCTTCGAAAAAGGGAAATGAAAAAAAAAAGCCTTTAGGGAGGGATGACAAGCCACAGAACTAAGGTGAAATAAAAATTGGTGAGTCAGAAATCATTTACCTTCTGAGAGAACCTTTTTATACTCCTATGGAATTCAAATAACTTTGCGGGTTACTGCAGAGAGCGTGTAGGCCTACGATCACAGATACTCAACACCGATGGCAGAAAGAGTGGAAGTATTATTGTGAAAGAAGAGCGCACAGTATTCAGGAAGGGAAAAATAGCTTTCGAATATAGTTCAGTAAGTGCTATGTATGCTTCCTCATTTACTGTTTGTTAGCAAGAAGACTCTAGTAAAGTCATGATGAGCAATACCGAGTGTTTTACTGTCGTAATTCAGTAGTCTTTTAAACTTCATTTTGAAAGCATGTTAGATGGGTAAGAAAGGGTGAATCTTTTTATTCACCTTTAGGGAGGCAGTGTTCTGAAGAATTGTAGAATTTTTGCTATTTGAGCTGTTTCATCAATGTGCTTACTTCCTTTTAGTTCATTTACATGTATAGATATTAATAGTGGTAATGTTTGTTGTGGTACTACATTTGCAGAAATCCTGAGCAATTACTCTTGTGTTGGGAAGCAAGGTTCTTTCTCTTGTTAGATCGCATAATGATAAGGACTTATAAAACGGAAAGTGCTGTATTTTCAAATTGAGCATATGTAATATGGTTTGTCTTTTAAATTAGGTTGCTGTAATAGTTACTCTCTTGACTTTGTTGTCTTTGCTAGCAACTGGTTATTTATTAGCCTGCAGGTATATTTTTCAGAGGAATAGATGCCCTAAATTTCTTTCCTTGGAATCTCAAGGATTCCTCACAGCATTTATGAATGACAAAGGCAAATTCTTCTCAAATTTTTTAAACTTGTGTCATCAGTCTGATTCTTTAGAAGAGGTTAGTCAAGTGCATGGTTTATGATTTGGGTCTTTATTTTTTAAGGGAAGCAGTACTTTTCTTTCTAGGACTGCAGTATTAAATGCCATCATGTGACTGTTGAATGTTGAAATTACTTTTTACTTCATTGTAGAATCAGTGATTGTCCCATAATCAGTTTCCCATAGCAGTGAACTGTAGTTCCATTACACTGAAGGCCAAAGGGATGATAACATTTTTAACAAAAACTTTTATCACTATTTTAAGAAACATTGAGAAGGCCCAATTTATTATTTCTAACTCAAATTCATCTAGCTTTTTTATATCTGCGTGTTTAGAACTTCTCTAGGAAGAACTACTCACCTGTGATTTCTTTTGCCAGTAACGAATGCAACCAAAACTTGATTTTATAATTGTGATTTCCTAGTTACTGCTGTGAAGTGATCATGTTAGGTTTCTCCTAAGAAGAATTCTATTTGTTTATGTTCCCAAGTTGGGGAAGTTCTGTTTCACTTGGGAGAGCTTTTGAGGAACGGTGACACTTAATATCAAGATGTCATTCTTGTCACTTGACCTGTATTTACCATTCCTAATTTCCTCCAGTTATGCATATGTGCCACGCAGGAAGGGCTTCCTCAAACTGAGGAAAATAGGCTATTTAGCCACAGCAGTGTCATACGATGTGGAAGCTATTGGCTGTGACACTACTGCAGATAAATCTTCTCTAGGTCCTGCTGGTAAATTCTTCTACGTGTGGTATGTAATTCATTTTGCCTTCTGAGGTTCAAATTTCATACCAGTGGGGTAGGTTCATTTTAAAAAGGAAACTATTTAATATTTTATTAACAATTTAATGTACTCAGAAGTGTTGGAAGTAATGAAATGCAGATTCAGATGGCTTTCTTCTCTGCCATAAATTGGGTCCACTTCATCTACGCTTTACAGTGCATGTTTTAGGTGGGATAAATCATTTACTTTTTGAGCAGATCTGCTGAACCTGGTTACAGAGCTTCAGACACGCCTGATTTTGCCAACATCCTAGTTTTAAATAAAGCAATTCACTGTGGAATAAATTTGTGAGGCTGTGCAGAAAAACAGAGAAAGAATTTTAAACATTTTGTAATATCTTCCCTGTTGTTTTTCACTGCAGACAGGTCTTTTTGAGTGAAAACTTTCAGCATACTGCCTCATTTTTTGTCTGGTTCTGTGGTAATGTCCTCCACAACATCCTTCTCCCAAGAGTTACAGTCAGTGGTTTAGTATCCAAGTGGGAACCAGTAATGAGTGGTGTTTGTACTGAAACCGGTGCTATTAGTACGTACATCAACGAAATAAACAAGGTCAAGTGCACCCTCAGCACAGCTGCAGATGACACCAAGGTGAGTGGTTCCATTGATACAGTAAAAGGAAGGGATGCCATTCAGGGGGCCATGACAGGCTTGAGGATCTGCAGGCTGCTTGAAGTCAAGCAAATCCAAGTACAAGGTCCTGCACCTGGGTTAGGTGATCCCCATTATCAGCACAAGCTGGGGGATGAACGATTTGAGAGCAATGCTGCAGAAGAAGGACTTGAGGTACTGATGGATGAAAAAGTGACTGTGGCCTGGCAGTGTGCATCTGCAACCCAAAAAGCGAGTTGTGTCCTGGGCTGCGTGAAAAGAAGTGGGACACCAGGTTGAGGGAGGTTATTCTGCCCCTCTACTCCACTCTAGTGAGACTCCCACTGAAGGTACTGCATCTGTCTCCAGCGTTTCCAACACAAACAATACAGGGATCTTGGAGCAGATCCATAGGAGGGCCACAAAGATGATTAGCAGGCTGAAGCACCTTCCTATGAGGAAAGGCCAAAAGAGTTGAAATTTTTCAGCTTTTTGTTATGTATAAAGGGGATTTGTAAGAAAGATGGAGAAATATTTCATTTTTTTTTTTAACCCCTCTGGGGTTTTTGGGGTTTTTTTTTGGTGTTGTTTTGTTTTGGTTTTGGTTTTTTTTCCCTTTTTGTTTCCTCCAAGGTTTCTATTGACAGGACAAGGGGCAATGTTTTTTAACTGAAAGAGGATTTTGGTTGAACATAAGGAAGAAATTTTTTATCACAAGGGTAATCAGGTGCTGAAACAGGTTGCCCAGTGAAGCTGTGGCTATACCATCTAAGTGTCTAAGTCCAGGCAGAATGGGACTCTGAAAAACCTGGTCTAGTGGAAGGTGTCCATGCCCATGGCATAGGGTAGGAATGAGATGAGCTCTCAGATCCCTTCCAACCCAAACCATTTTGTGATTCTGTGAAAATAGGAAGAGTACTGCATACCAGAGATGGTTTGGTCAGTATAGCAAATAAAACTGGTAGGATTTAGGTAATACAATTTTTCTTCACCTAGTGGTCTAGCACGTCTTTGAAAGTGGCTCTTTCATGAGACAAATTAATTACTGCATTTTCCAGTCCAGTTAAGATTCTAGAGTATCTGAAAGTATAAAGGTTCTACATTTGTTATCCTTTAGCATTTGAGTGTTGCACATCTTTTAACTTACTGACTTAAGCTGAGCCATTCTTGGTAGTAAGGTATTGGCTCAGCCATGGACAAGGATGATACAATCAGAACATCTATAAGTAAGGAGATTAATGGAACTGTTATGCATAGTTATACACTATTGAATGAGTTACGTATAACTGTCACTGAACATTATCTAGAAAGAGTTTAATAAGCTAGACTTCTTGTTGACTAGTTAAACTTCGTTGTATCTTTTAACAAGCAGGATACTAATACATAGTTGAGGGGAAATTCTCTCTACTACCATCCCAAGCATGTATAGTATATCATCATCCAATCTTGCATCTCTGCTTCTGAAAGTCTCTCCTATTGTACCAGGCCTGTACTTCTCTACGCCGTATCCTTATATTAGAGTCATAAATATCTCATTCTGGACAGGGTAATTGGTTGTTACTGTTACATAATAAGCAAAAATAAAATATTTTGGCCACAATTTTCTTCTGGTCAGAGATAAAAATGCTGTTACAGTTAAACACACAGAAATGTGGAGGTGATTTAGTAACTCAGTAATTGATCTTCACTTGATATGAGAAAATCTGTTTGCTCTGAATTCACTGCTGAAGTGTAAAGGCATGTCAGATTCACAGTTGTTTAACTGTGTTTATTTGTGTTTCCTGTTGCTAGTATCGGGCTCAGAGGCAGTCAGATTTACAAAATCTGCTAACGCGATTCCTTAGCATCTGGGTATTACATCAGAGAGTCAGTGTGCCATTAGTGTCTAATAATCTAATAAAATAATACAGAAGCATCTAGCAGGATAGTGTATATTACATTAGCTTAGGACTATTAAAGCACATAAGTGAAAGAGCTTTCCTGTGAGGTTAGGAACAAGATGTGTTTCATGAAATAAAACTCTGATTTGTTTAATACAGGGAAGATAAATACCCAAATTTATTAACAACCTTACTTTGTTACAGCGAAGGCTAAGGAAAATGGGATGTCTGTGCACTGTGCAACATATAAGTGAACCTGGACATATAGATTTCCATATGTGGAACTTGTTCTGATTCATTTGGGACATAGAAGAAGGTGCTTCAGTCAGAGGTTGAGAAAACAGTGAAGAAGTACTGAAGAAATCCTGGAAGTAGACTAACTGAATAACATTTCAAAGTTCTTTCCAACTTTATTTTCTGTGAGCACTTGGGAGGTGGTGTGATACACAGGACTCAAATCCATGAAGATGGTGCGGGAAAGTGGTGACCAGTCTAGTAAGTAACTATGGGGGAAAAAAGTTTATAATAAACCCGTGTTTTATTTTTTGCTAGGACTACAGGGAATAAATGCCTGGCAGCTGTTAGAGTTAAGTTGATGTCTTAGATATCTAAGTATTCTTAGGCGACAGATCCCAACAGTGACTGAGTATAATTTTGGACAAAAGATCCGTGCAACTTAAACTTTGTGTGAATGTTTCAGCTTTTTTCTTTCCTTTTCCTATTATTCAGTCTAAATTTGTTGGTACCAAGTTTTTGTGATACTGGAATTCCAGTCTCTGGAATTCACTTCTCTCCAGGTATAGCTATAAATAGCTTTATACCTGCCATTCCGAATAATAGAGCTGCAATCCATATGCAACATCAAGAGTTTTTTCTTATCCCATTCATCTGCTGTGGCACTTTGCAGCAGCCGGGATGCTATAAGCACCCAGAAATAAAAGTAGCCAGGAGGGAATCTCTTTCACTTGTAGCGTAATTCCACAGTGTCTACTGCTAATGTAGAAATTCGATGCTGTCCACATGCCCATCCAAAATATGGACAACTTTTCATGGGCAAAGATGGGATACATCTGGCTGTTCCTTCTAGCTAAGGGATATTTACATTTTTCCAGCCTCATTCCACATAAATGAAATCATCCTTTCCCTCTTAGGTTCTGCTGAAGAAATTTGCAGCAAGTGACTGTACTCCTTGAAGGCACTCTGTTGAGCAGTCACTTTGAAGTCAAAGGTCTTCTGTTTTACTAAAACCTGGAGTGGTGTCTTTGATTGACCTCTGACAACTGCCAAGAAAAGGAAGTTTTGCCTAGAGCCATCCTCTCCCTAAAGAGGCCACTGATTACGGTTCCTAAAAGATGTTTGGTGGGTTACTTCTCCAGCAGGAAGTTCCATGCTTGAGCCTACTTTTAACCAGTAGATATCTGTTAAAATATATGATTTAGTATGTACTTGTGATGCGATGAGGGTGGGAACCCATTTGTACTTCAGGAGTATGTTTCACCTGAAAGAGAAGATCTAACATGAGTGGGCTGGTATACCACATAATTATCTCTTCTCCACAGCTCATTGTATATAGAAGAAAGTGAGTATCTATTGCATGCAGATGATCTAGACTTGTACAAGCTGATGTGCTGTGAAATTTGGTAGCTGAATTAGTATCCTTTATAATCAGTGTACTTTGAAATAAATGAATATGCAAAATAATACCTCTGGTATTTATTATAAAGGATTATTTGTAGTGGATATTACATTAAAATTATCTGGGTTTTTCATCATTGTTATTTTTCTAAAGAGTTATAATTTCTTGGATATGATCAGGTTGATAAAAACTGGCTAAGTGTAGCAAAATAGAGCATTTATTTTTACATCCCCCTCTGGTCTTCCCCCATCCCCCACCCCCAGTAGAATGATAAATTCTGTACTGTTGCTTTATTCTGTCAGACAAAAGGCAATGAGCTGCATCTGTGAATACGCCTTTTTGTTGGTTTCAGTACAGTGCAATATCTGTGCTAGCATCTAGGCAACTGCTAACAGGGAAATGATGTGCCCTGTGACCAATACTCTTGAACTTTATAATATTTACCCCCATAAGTAATTTAAAGGTTTGTGTAGGTTTTTTGAGCTAATAAAGTTCTTTCATACATATGTATATAGGGGTGTGTGTGTGTGTATTTAAGTGAATATGTATATAATATGGACATATATATTTCTAACAGAATTATTATGACTAGGAATACATAATTTCATTTGGAAAGCAAGTAACATAATGTTACATTATATTGTATTTCTAGTTATTCAGTTCATGCAGAGCAGTTCATTGCTAATTTATGCTGATAGAGTCTTCACAAATGACTTAAGTGTTGTGGCAAGAGCCGTGTAACACCAGTCCACAAAACTGAGGTTAGCTACCATTTTGATCTCCAGTCTGAGGGAAAACAACCATATTGGCAGCTGTCTGGAATCTTATTTTGGAATTGTAGAGAAGATAATAAAGAGAGCTCAGCTACTGCAAACTTGGCTTTTTCTTCTAATCCTTTTATAATGAAAGGTTTTCCTTTCAACTGAGGGAATCAGAAATCTGTAGGTAGTGGTTTGGGATACTGACAAGTAGAATAGGAAGAGAAATCAGTGAAAGTTTCTTAACAAAGTGAAAGTAACTCCAAATCAAGTGAATCTGTAAGTGGGGATGGTAAACAAATAAACAAGCGCACTAGAATTCTATGCCAATGACTATCAGTTAAGTTGTATAGTACACGTGGAAATGTGGCTCTGCAAGCAGAAAAAAATAAACCCCCCAACTGCCAAGAGCTTTTTTCCAAGACTCTTCCCTGTTACGTACACTGTTAGAATAAGATACATGAGAAAGCCTACAAATGTTTATTTATGCTCTGTCTCACTCAAGGGTGTAAGAAAAATGTAGTGAGAGAGGGTGGCATGGTAAAGGAACAATGTAGGGAAGTTGTTTTTTTTCCCCACAGAGTGACTCCTGAGGGATGTGAATGGTCAATTAATGTATTTTTGGTCACCTGTTTTTTGACTTGTTTGAAGCTGTTGTTCAGTTAGTGGGATCGGTTAACGATAATATTACATTCAACATGGGAATTAAAGTTCATTAGATTTGACTAGTCGTAGTATCAAAGTATCACAGTTTCATGTCTGTACCAAAGATTATCTTTAAAAGGCATCCTGCAGTGAATTTGCTTTAAAGTGTTGAATTTGCCTGTATTGATTTTGCCTTTAAAATAATAAGTTGTAGTTGCCCAACCAAACAAGGGCAACTGAATGACAGTGGTCCTTAACACAGACTGCTATGCATTTGGAAAGATTCTCTTGTTTATGGGTGAAATTCTGCTTGTAGCCTGCATAATAAATGAAACTGAAAGAGGAAGTGGATTCTGTTCTCGCTGTGTGATCCCAAGAGCCTTTCTGGAGCACCTGTGGAAGGGTAGGACTATGGTCTGTATAGCTGTGGTTTATCTGATCTTTCGAACGTGCTTGCGCTGTCTTGGCCTGTCTGCTCATCCTCTCAAGAAGACCTGATGAGCACTTGCAAACCCTAGCTGGCTGGGCACTATCTTAAAACATGTTTTCCTGATGTTAGGGCATTTTAACTTTGATATCAGTCATGATTAGTGTAATAAAAGGCAAAGCCATATGTGTCTTCATTCCCTTGCTATGGTCTTGCACATGATTTCCACTTAACACTGGAATTGGTTTACTCTTTACCCATGTCCTTACCTTTTCTTTTTCAAAGATAGATGCAAGCTAAATATTTGATTAGAAGATTAAACTATGTTACTTACATTTTTTTGGGCTATGTTACATTTGATGACAGCTACATATTGTTTTTCTCTGCTGCTTTGGCTGCACTACAAAAGCTGTGGTAAGTTACACTGTAGTTACTCACAGTTTCCTCCTGCCCATTTGACACAATCCCTCAACCAAATGCTGCTAATGTTACTAATGTAGATGCTTCTAAATAATTGTGAGGTTGCATCCCTGCAAGGATAAAGGTGATGCAAATGATTAGTACAGGTGTCAAGTTCTTGTACTGTAGCTGTTGTCATTACAGGCATCTATGTGTCTGGCATCTGGACTATCTGCTTTGTCTTTCATTATTGTCTGGGTCTTTCTGTTCTGTCAATCTGTCTTTTTGTTACAAAATGCAGTTTTAATTTATCACATGCTTCTTCATTGTTGTCCTCTGTTTTAGAGGAATTTTGTGATTTTTTCTTTCCTATCTCACTCTGTTGGTTTCCATTCTGCAAAATAGATATGAGCAAAAAGCAAGGAATCTGAAACTTTCCTCTGTGTTACATTTGCAGCATATTTCACCGTCAGAACATTTTTCTAAAGGTAATTGCAGATTTCCAAAACATAATCATATTTAGAACACAAGATTTCTCTCAGGAGGAGTTTGTACTTGACTTCCAGCTGTGAATCCTCTGTAATGCATGATGGGCCCCTGTAGAAAACCTGCCCCTTTTTTTGGCAATACCTCAGTAGTGATAAACATTGATCAAGAGGTTGTTGGAGGTGATTTTGTTCATTTGTTTTTCAGCTTTCATAGAACTAGGTAGAAAGCGCTTTGCAGCAGATTTTCAATACAGCTGAAAGTTGTTTGCAAATCTTTTCCAAATCTTCTGCTGAGTTAATGTGCTACATCTGTAATAAAAGACATTTTGGCCATGAGAAGGTCTTCTTCTGGAAGTACTAAATAAGAAGAATGTGACCATGTACTATCACATTAGAAAAATATGAGGAAATGTTTATTTGGTAAAGGAAGCCTCTTGTTTGTTAATGACTTGTGTGTTGCTCAAGATGGGAGACTTGCGGAATGTGTGAGAAGTTGCTCATGCTTCAGGACCATTTCCCAGTAGCACTCAAAGCAATTGTAAATGCAATTGTATTGATATTGTGACAGAATGTCAGAGTATCCAGAAATAATACGTCTTAGTACCTAACGCAAGCTCTGTTTGGCTTGATGTCTTTATTCCTGGTGCTGCACTGTGCCAAACAATGGAAACACTTCTATTCTGGGAATACCAGTAGGATGGAATGTGCACTGTGGGACAGTTTTTTGCTCGAATTCTCTTGTGGGTGGGAAGTATTAAAAGGGTGGGGGGCCAATCCACTGCCATCTTTTTTTTTCCTTAAGTCTGAATGATGGCTTTTATATGTTCTGTGAAGACAGATGGTTGCTCCAGTGTTCCAGCACAAGCTGTATAACAAAGTAGGGCTTAGCAGCATAGGTATCCAAATCACAGTGAGGGAAAGGGGGACCATGTCTTGGCATAAAATAGTCGGCAAGCACGTAGTTAGAAGTGTTTTGCAAGACTACAGAGTCACTGGCAAACTGATTTAATTTTCAGATTTTTAGGGCAGTAATCCACAACTCAAGCAATTTTTTACTTTTTTTTTCCTAGCCCGTAGTGAAGCAGGAAGAGAGACTGAGGGTAATTACTGGCATATCTAAAAAAGCCTGGGATTTAAAAACATTGGCTTCCATCCTTAGAATACAACAGTAATTTGGAACATCCTTCTAGCACGAGACTAGAAGGTCAGTCTTCGTGTCCTAGTATTCCCAACTTGTCCCATTTAATCTATATTAATCCTTTCAGTTTTTAAATAAGCTTTGATTAGGTTTACTGATTGAGATCTTTCACAAAAGCTATTCTAAGAAGAAAACCATTTGTTAGCCTTCATTTTGTCTGTTAATTTGTCCTTCAGTCAAATTCCGTATTGCATTTCCTAAAGCATTCAGGATATATATGTACTGTCATCTCATTCTGCATTTTACCAGTACATGCTCATTGTCTTTAGGGTTCTGTCTTTGTTGTAAACATTCAGGAATCATTTAATTAATGTATTATCCAGAAATCAAAATCAAGTAAAAACATATTGTAACTATTAAATTATCATTTCCACACAGTTTGCTACAGTTATAGCTTGATGTAAATGGATTCAGTGGATGGGAGTGTACTGGTAGTTAGAAAATGTTTTGGTGCATTAAAAGAAATTATTGCTGATAGTTAAGATTCAAGAAACAACTCTTTATAAGTCATAATATGAATTGTATCTTGAAAGCATGCTAGCATTCAAACGTCTTTCAGTTCACAGTGTTCTAAATTACAAAATTGCTGCGCTTTAGATTCAAAATTTTGATTCAGAAATTGATTTTTTGAATAGTTTATTCCATTTTGCAGCTGTCAGCATAACCGAAGTCCAATTTTAACTTAATGCCTTTAGGTTGCCTATTAAATACAACTTGTAGTGGGCTTGTCTTTTGTAAAGGATGTATGGATAATTTGCTGCTGTTCTTGGATACCTGATCAATCTTATAAACTCTCCCACACTTACAC